TAGTTTCATATGTATTCCATTAGATAGAGTTAATTGAACCTCGCAAGTATATGGTGTACCGACGTTTCTTGTTGGTATAAGTGACACACGAATGCATGATAGAAAACTATCCTATCTGAATAAAACACGTTAAGTAAGTCTTGTGTTGCCAATCTTAAAATTTCTAGGTTCAGAAAAAAATACTGGGTATTGTAATCTTCATAACGTCCTCCTTCAGATTAGAAACAAGGCAATCGCTATCTGGACTGATATCTGGACTGATATATGGACTGTTATCTGGAGAGATATCTAGACTGATATCTGGATAGATATGGACTGTTATGTGGATAGATATGGACTGTTATCTGGAGAGATATCTAGACTGATATCTGGACAGATATGGACTGTTATGTGGACAGATATGGACTGTTATCTGGAGAGATATCTAGACTGATATCTGGACAGATATGGACTGTTATGTGGACAGATATGGACTGTTATCTGGAGAGATATCTAGACTGATATATGGACTGTTATCTGGACAGATATGGACTGTTATGTGGAGAGATATCTAGACTGATATCTGGACAGATATGGACTGTTATCTGGACTGAGATATATGGACTGTTATTTGGACAGATATGGACTGTTATCTGGACTGAGATATGGACTGACATCTGGAGCGATGTCTGGAGATATATATGAACTTTTATCTGGATTGTATCTGGACTGTTATCTGAAATGATATCTGGAGAGATATATATGAACTGATATGTGGACAGACATCGTGACTGATGTGTGGACAGACAACAGGACTTATATATAGATAAATATTTGGACGGATATCTGGTCTGATATGTGGACTGAAAGTTGATTTATTTAAAAGATACTTGACTTCCTTAAAATTCATCATTTAAATAGCTTATACTTAGCTTTCTGATAAAATCTGAAGTTTTGTAAAGTTACTGTCAGCATTTGTGAAGGCCTAACTAAAGTAACGAAAGTTTTGTCAGTACATTGGTATCGAAAGTGACAAGGAGACATCTAGTTATAATCCTATATAGACTAAACCACTATAAATTGTGGTATATAGAATATCTGATGGTTTACTGCTCCATAAATCTATTTCATGAGAAAGACAGAATATTTTCCACGAGTGCGAAGCAAGAATGAAAATAACAGATATATTCTGTCATACGAGTGAAATATATATGATATTTAATGGGAAACCGTAACATTGTCTTGTTATTTCATTTTGAATGGAAAAACAAATTAAAGAGAAAGCTGATCCAAACATAAAATAACGCGATGTTAAAATATTTCGGGAAATATCAGCGAGCTCTTTCACGTCAGATACATATTAAGTTTGACTTTACTCTTGACAACAAGGAGACGCCATTTTGAATTAACTGCCTTACGTTACATTTTTTACGGAGTATTCTGCCGTTTTATGTTGTTATCTAGTGGAAAACACTGTTTTTATTTACCAAACTAGAGAAAACCAGAATGTAGTCTGGGATTATTTGATAAAACCAATTTATTCAATCTTTGCTTCATTTGTTTTCGAAAAGGAATTCGGCGAATTTCAATGTATTGACTAGATAGCACGGTTGGTCAAAAGTATGCAATTTATATCAACACCTGAAAAATCATATCCTTATATCATCTAAATTCTTTCCAATCTGATAAATTCCTATATTTCACTGGTAAAAATGTTATAAACATTCCTTTACACAATAATCTTGTATACTTATGACATATAGGCCAATATGTTCATATATTTACTATATATGAAAACAAACCAAACGTGCGGTTTTATTCCCTTCAATTTACATTGTGTTTGTCAAGTTTAATATGATACAGGTTGTGGTGATAGCATGTGATCAGTGTAAAACGTGGGCGTACGAGGATATCTTATCTAACATCTAAACAAACATGGATTGTGGATTGTCTTTGTATGTACAGGGTCAATGTTTATCACCAAACCATTTAGTTAATATCATAGGTAAGCAAAATTTGGTATACAAGTCAACTCTGAAACAACACTGGGACTCGGAATGTTTATTGAAATGTAAATCAAAATTTTGCTTAACTGAATAGAAAACTCTGCTAGAGATGGAACAACACATACACCAGGTGGTAAAATCCTCAACTCTGGTAGAGATGGAACAACACATACACCAGGTGGTAAAATCCTCCATGTCCATCATAACATTAGAAATTACAAATTTTGATTTCTTAAAATATGTCCCTTGAAGGTTTTCGTAAGATGCTATCTATTATTGTCGATACAAAATAAAATCCTGTTCTTATTACTACACTGTTAAGCGATTAAGCATCAAAACACGATTTTTTTTTCATTTTTTGTTTTTACATTGACTCAATTAATCATAAGTAGATTAGGCTCATCCAAAAAAAAAATTCTATCCTGGTCGTTTAATTTTTCCGGTCTTAACATTTAAAGAAATGAAGGAACGTTCTTGTTATGAAATCTTTAGCAAATACTATACAAACAAGTGATCAGATCAGATCGGATGAGATTGGGTGGACAGCGTGCCAAAGATCCAGATGACACAAATAATAAAACAGAGTATGTGATTTCGAAGTGTTGATAAACATAGAATATGTAGTCCGTTACCACAGGTCCAATAGAAAATTTCCTGAATATCTTCTTTGACGATGGTATAATACCATGTACTGGAAGCATATAAAGCATGAATGTCATCAGTTAATTTTAACGCTTATAGTTTGCCGAATACTGAAATCATACTTTTATCTTATATGTACAATATTTATATGTCTCGTCGCAGTTTAACAATATGGTTTAGATCAGATTACATATTTTATCCCAATAAAATCACGCTATCAATTATGAAACTTTCCCGAAAACTCAATCATCCTGCATGTGTGCATATCTATTTATTCATTTTTAGCAGCCTTCAACATCAAACATTAAAGTCATGATATATTTGGGACAAAACGTCTTCGGTTGAGGAGTACGAACATTTTCATTCTCAATTTCATCATACAGCTTATTCACCTGCACATGGTCAGTATGTGTCTTGTTATCTGAATACGAGTAACCATCAATATATAACGAAAATCAAAGGGTTTGTAGAAGTATTCCCTACCTCTTCTCACGTCTTATGAGAAAAGAGCTTTGGGGTGCAGTATGATGAATTGATAATTAATCTTCAAGCCTAGATAAAAAATTATTTCATTTCACGTCCATAGCGACTATCACTTTGGTTTCATACTAGAAGTATACACGTTACTATGTAAATTAAAATGTGGTTATGATAACTGGGCAATGATTTCCTTTTGTGGTATTAAGTTAGTAGATGTACAGTAGTTGTTAGTGTACCGGTTGATTAGCATTGTCAATATCATTGTTGATCTGATGATATCGTTAACACAGTACCCATTATTAGAAAGCTCTATCACTTATATTGACCTAAATTTCTGCTATGCTGTATAATCAGTGTGATTATTCTCATTCTTCTTTTGTGAATGTAATATTTCTAGATAGCAACCTTCCTACTTCCCAACCTATGGCGTTTACGTGTAGCAGTTGGTTCATAACAATGGGATCGTTTCTAGTATCATAGCTTCCGTGCAAGAAGTCGGCAGCTGATAGATTGACTTACAACATGGTTTCAAGAGCTGTACATTGAAAAGTATTGGGATTTTTTTGTGGTCGTTACGATGATCTTATTGGTAATAGGTTTTTCCTGGTCGGACAGGAGTTTCGTTGGTTGTTAGCATATTACAAAAAAAAAAGCATAATACCCATTGACCTTATGCGTTTATATCTTTCTAAAGCTCCTATTTTGACCTCGTTTAATTGATTTCTTTTTTTTTTAAATTATTAATTTGCGAATATGGCGTATATTTCATTGTCGAAGAAGGAAAAGACGCTTACCTTCCGGAACACCGAATCACCTCAGATATTTTTTTAATTAAGTTTTGCTAATCCCGTGTATTTCTTTAAGGTCGTATTTTATTTAGGATTTTTGTTACTAACTTGTTTTCTTTTTCTCTCTTTTGATTATATGTTCCCCGTTATCATTTTTACGACCTTCCTCGACCAACATTGACCTAAATGCACCTTCCTGAAGATACAATCAATTTCAATATTTCTTAAATACAGCTGTATGTGAAGCTACCTTGAAACACTGAATGCGGAATTAGCTTCCTGCAAGCTCATCCTGAACAGCCAGCATACACAAAACCCATTCCCCGTGTTTCATATTGATTTTGTGTGATTATCAGTTTCAGTACAAACTGAATACCACAGCATCGACCTCTTAGTTTTTCTAGGCCATCGTCTTGTAATGACACAGGAGTTTGCGAGACAATACATCAGCGGGATCTTTCTTTCCTCGATATATAGGACGATAAAATACCTCTGTGTAAAGCAGTAGCTTAAAATAGATACCAATCCTTTTTATGATTGGATTTGTAATTTCATGCTTGAGTCCACAGTCCTATAATTGATATTGAGTGTTTGCTTCAAGCAAAGTCTGGTTAGCCACAACTTAAGACAAAGTAAGTTTTTAAACGACAAATTTGCAAAGATACAAAATGTTGATATGGAAAAATAAACATTATATTAATATTTTTGTGGTGATATTGATAATGATTAAGGAAAGAAGGTTTGATACTGTTTAACAACATTGCCCTTGTCCTGGAAACAACCGATTGTTTCGTGCTCTCCGTCGCTCTGCATTGCTGGTGATAATACTTTTATATACACTGCGTCCCAGTGACCTAGAGAGGCAGATATCTAATGTTTGTAAACACAAGTCATGTGACCATACGTAGTGAGTAGGAGTGTCTGTACGCTCTCGGTACATAAACAAACCCTCGTGGCTTTACAACCATAGTAAGGCAGACACGAGAATGTGACCGTATCCTGATCCGAATAAAAGAAGAAGGTTTTTCAGAACTGTTTCTGTGTTTCAACGGTAGAAGTTTCTGTGTTTCAACGATAGAAGTTGCATAGTATTGTTGACAAACATTTCAAGCAATATGGGGATTTTTGAAAGTTTTGTAAATCATGTTGACATGACAACTGTTTTGATTTCTTTGGTTGCATTTCTGACGAGTTACTGGTTGCTGCAACTGTATAGGAGACCAAGGTTTCCTCCCGGACCAATGTCATGGCCTCTTATTGGAAACATGCCGCAGATATTTGGTAAGGCTCTACATCTTGCCCTGACAAATCTGGGAGACAAATATGGCCCCCTCGTCTGGTTAAACATGGGCGGGGAGAACGTTTTGGTAGTCAACACCATCGATTCTGCCATTACTAGTTTTGTACGCCAGGGCCGAGTCTTCGCTGGCAGGCCTAAACGACGGAAGACTGTGCAAGTTCTTCTTGGTCAAGGAAAAGACATTGTAATGAGCGATGCGGGACCCGAATTGAAGTTTCACAGAAAGCTTGTTCATTCATTTCTGTCTTCCCAGACTCGAGCTGGTCAGCACCGCATGGAAGATATGATCATGTTCGAAACGGAAAGTCTGAGTGACAAACTGGCACTTGTTTGTAAAGGTGGTCAGTCTTTTGATCCCAAACTTGACATATCTAGAGTTGTGGCTAACGTGTTATGCATGTGCATTTTGGATCGCCGCTTTGACGACGTCGACGACGCTTTTCTGAACCAGCTTCATATTATTCAAGACATTGTAGATAACATCGAGAGCTTCAACATTGTCGACGTATTCCCGTTTCTTGAGGTATGTTGATAAGCCTTTATAATTAACGACTAATTGATGATTGGTTTATGTTTTAGAATACTATATTATAAAAAAAAATTGTATGAATGCTCTGATCAGACTTATTTGCTCATTTCCGGCACAAATGTTTTGTCAAAGGACATTAGTGTTATATTGGAAACAAGCTATCAACCAATACATATACTTAAAGTGTAAGTGCTACTTGTATTAAGAGAACGTCAGTGTTCCAAACATTTTATTTGTGTTATATAAGTTTTTCTATCGTGTTGTATGTCTGTGCAGTATATAAGTGTTAGTCGTCTTTAGTGACCAATAGTAATACGTCAAATGTGCAGGACGCTAGTGAAAGTACCAGGATGAGCATTTTGGAAATCCCTCCGAAATGTGGGTGTGTGACCTAGATACTTCAGAATGAAATCCAGTTGAATAGAACATTCTCGGTTGTTATCAAATATAAGGGGTGTGTAAAAGTACACAAGCAGTGATTGGCTGCTCCGCGAGAAGTCCAAAGGTCACATTCCTCGCATGCTGAAATGCCTAGCTTGGCTGCTTTATTACGACTCGGGAGACAAACAACCTTCCTTTCCATACGTGTAATGAAACGTATATACTATACGGGCTAAATGCACTTGTGACTCTGGTCTGTTGGGAGGTCCATTCAATAAAATTCTCCGGTTACAAATTCCTTATTGAATGGGTTTTAAGGATGGGTAGTATGGACGATAGTAAATAAGGTGACACTGCCCTGCACTCCCGTGTACTCTGATGAACGGTCTTTGACATCAGAAAGGTCATCATTATATCTCTCGCCCACAGACTCTACCATAAGATAGAATGTTAACTAACGGGCTAATGATTACATACAGCAGTCCCCTACTTATTCTAGTCATTTTAACAGAGTATTTCATCATGTTACTCTACTTGCACACGCTGGTAATGATATAACACAGACTACAGTGACCAGAAAGAATGATAATTACTGGTTTGTTTTTGCTTGGAATCACCTTCACATAATCACGTTCCTGGCCCAGCGCCAGATTACCGACCATGTGAACGAATATATCGTACCGTTCAGTTTGTTGTTTTGCTCACCGTCTAATACACTAGCAATAAATCAATTCACGGTGGAAGTTCAATAATTTTTAACTGCTTGGTTATTTGTTGATGAAATAGAAAGCTTATTTTCTCATGGCAAATGATATATAGTTAGATTGTGTTAGGTCATATCCTATTGTCTTGTCATGACATATCACAGTATTTACATAAAAAAAAAACTGTGATCATTTGATATTTGTCTTATCTTACCTTGCACCATACAACAGTAATAACCAGAAAGCTGGTATAATGAATGAGGGCAAAGTGTATGTGATACAGCTAGGGTCATGGATTTGGAACTGTGCCGAGTTATCCTGCACTTACAGTAATAGGACATTGTTTCGTTCGTATGTACTCGTTTCTGTAAACGAAACATTTCCTATTTCAGGAAAATTGACTAAAAAAATCCTTCATTTCCCACCCCACCGTTTTTTGGATATATTATCATTGTTTTGTCTTACCTCTATCTCTTCCTACTACGCAGTCAACAGGAACAGCTGTCCCCAAATTAAGTTTCATAATAACAGTTATGATTATAATTTCTCTGTTGTGGATTTTTCTTCTCCAAGAAAACAACCACAGGGATAAGGCATGAATCCATATATATGTAAAATAGTCACTATAATACATATATACGTTCCGTTGGTCAACTTCGTGCCAAATCCCTGTGATAGCAACACATCTACTTTACAAGCCTCAGTTGGGCCGATATTCAAGGGCTTATCCAACATATTACGATTTCCGTGCAAAATTGTGACATTTGACAGATTGGGAACGTGACATTACTAACTAGGATTGTCTACGGTGTACGGGATGGGTTTCGATGAAGTAGAACACGCTAATCCTTCTGGAACAGCTGGTCGTATTCTCCCTATCCCTTTCTCTTGGGTCTAAGTGCAACTCTTTCCCTTGTTGATATTTTCGCCTGCTTCCATCGAATTTGATTTTTAACTTGGATTATGTTGATATATTGATATATTTGTGTTTGTTTTGAGAAATATCATCTATCTAATTATATAAGTAGTAGGTACATCCTGACAAGAACGGGCTATCACAATATGACTCGTTTCTGTATTCAGAGATTCCCGATTCCTAGCTGGCGCCGATTTCTTGGCAGTCTAAAACGAAGAGACGAATGGCTCACCCAAGTCATATCAGAACACAGGGTAAGCATGGGACGGGTACGTCGTGTGATTTCATGGAGGAAATAGCAGTAACTTACAGATTGACCAAAATAATGGCAAATTTTCTTAGATATGAGATAATATATTCTTGTTGATACTATTAAAATGAACTTTTTCAATTTCAATATCGATTGCAAGAACAAATGAAAAATAACTGAAATATGTCTTTTACAGGAGACACTCGGTGAAAACAATCGTGATTTACTGGATATATTACTGAAGGAACAAGAACAAGCTAAGAAAGAAGGGGATAAGGAACGTTTGGCGCTTCTCAGTGACGTCAGCATCGGCCATATTGTTTACGAATTGTTCGGTGGTGGAATCGAATCCACAACTATGACCATCCTTTGGTTCATTATCTATATGATAAGAAATCCAGAGGTAAGTCGGTGCCAATTTTTTTTCAATCACTTAAATATTATACTAACACGCACTGAAGTTGAGTAGACATCGATATTTTGAACAATAAAACTAGAAAATGCAAACAAATGTTCCGCAATGCTAAGCGTCTTAGTTATATGGACGACATCTTCCCCGTAAATTAAAGTTCAATCTGTGTAATATTACATTATCAAAATGAAACAGGGGTGCATATGATGTTAAACCGCCAGAAATACTTCGAATATTTGTCATGTAAATGTTCATATCGAGGAACAGCATTATTCCTAAATGGCGATGGTGACCTTAATCTACATTGCTCGATTTACATCAATTATTTTGGATATTAACGTATTGGTTCTATCTGCCATATTATGACTGTAACTCTGATTTGATGATGATGATAATAGAATGTTGATTAATCAACTAGTCGAATATGTTAGATGCTGTTGTTTTTTTTAGAGATTTTGTGAAATTTAGAAAAACTTATATCATCAAGAAAGATCCATATTCCAAATAATTACGTTCCTGACAGATCGTAACAAAGCGATATTGAATGAGATTTGTATAAATTGTGTTGGTAGGCTTCATCAGGTTAACAATTTATGGCCAGAAGTAGTAATTGCTGGATAACGTTTCTATGGCATTTTAATACTTTGAACATAATACTGTTGATTGCCCTTCATTCGTTTTTATAAATGCCGTTCGCCATCCACCGTCAGCTGCGTATACAATTTTCACATTTGAACTTCATCGCAAGTTTCACAAGTGAGATTGGTCTGAAACTTGTCCTGAATGATACTAAGCAAGTGCAAAAGGAAATCAAAGATGGTCGTCATTTTGAAACATTATTTCAAACTTCCTCTCGAAATCCAATTGCGCCATTGTTGGAATGTTAAAGAAAGGAAGCCGACAAAATGTTCTTTTGATCTCCTCAAAATTTCGTTATGGCAGACATGGCGGCCATATTGATCCAAAATAGCCACTATGGCCGCCATCTTTCAAGCCACCATTAAACATTCGTGGGGATATTAAGACAGTAGGCCAACAATGTGTTTTTACTTCATGACCTGCGTGACACTTTAGCATTGCAGCCATGGTAGCCATTTTGTTACATAATTCCACAGTCATGGTTTTTTCTCAACAACACTGTTCTAAACTTCCCAAGTTCCACTCGTAAGATTTGTCAGGCTTGCCTGAAATGATTTCGAGATGATATTGATCAAATGATCTAAGATGTCGTGTCGGTCCGAAATCCAAAACTTTTAATAATTGTCCACACTAGAACTATTACTATTATTTCATCTACAGGTCAGTACAGTCAAACGACTGTCAATGTTCATTGTTTTTTCACCGGCTGTTGTAAAATAAAGTATTTTAAGTCACACTATTATTAAACTGGACCTATTAATTTGATTGCAGTGGCAGAAACGAATTTATGACGAAATCCACAGCGTAACAGACTCGGACACATTGCCGAGACCATTTGATCGCTCACGTTATCCTGTTCTGGAAGCAACCATAAAGGAAACACTTCGTATGGCTTCCGTCCTGCCTGTAGGCTTCCCCCATAGGACTATGGAGGATACAAAGTAAGTAACAATGTATAATGTCATACAATCTACGTGAATACATAGCAACACTGTCTATCATAGGATAGTCTTTAACTAGGAGACTTCGGACAACACAATACTAGAGATTCAAACACTTCTACTGCGGATATATGGCGTCACTCACTCATCCATAGTGAATTCTTTGTATAGAAATAATACCGTTGGCTTGAAGAGAAACAATATGCCTAGATTAATTAACTTTACCTCATCTATAACTAAAACAAAACTGTAGAGTGATATTGAAATGCAGAATCTTTGATAAAAAGACAAATGACCTTTTTCCTTTCATGCCGACTATATGTAGTTGAAGCTCAAGTCGGTGTCTTTTTATTTGTGCAATATGTTACTTGAATCATTGTGCTGAATATCAATCTAAATTTACGTTGCAGACTTTCTGGGTTGTATGTCCCTAAGGATACTATGGTATTGATGAACATATGGGCTATACACCACGACAAGCAAGCTTGGCATGATCCGTACACATTCAATCCAGGTAGGTAGATCGCACTGGTGTTTCAAAATCGAGTAAGCATCGGTACATTAAATGTCTTTGACGGTATTCAATTGTCTACTGAATTTCAGTTTACTTGGCCTATAAGATAGTTTTCTGGAAGTATCTTTCGAAAAGCTGAAACTTTCCATTTGTATGATGCAGCATCAAATCTGATATTTTGCTGAAAAGGTAGAACAAAAATTAATGTGATCAAAGCGAAATGGCACAGATAAACGGTCTTGATATATTTTCTGCGTGCAGTAATGGTAGTTGTAATAGAATCTGGTGTTTATTTTTAAGATAGAAATTCCTGCTATCTATACATATTTGTGCCTTGTATGGAAAGTTCATCGGACGCATGATAACTGGAAATAGTATAAATCTAAACTGTATGTTACTTAAATGTAAGAAGTTACCGTTGTGAATACTTATCATTGAAACAATTTTATGTGTTTTCCAGGTCGCTTCCTTGACGAATGCCCTGGAGAAAGGTACAGTTACTTACCGTTCGGGATAGGTAATCGAGTGTGCCTGGGATCCACTATTTCCAAAATGGAAATATTCATGTATTGTGCTTGCCTCCTTTCCAGATATGAGCTTGTATGTCCACAGGGGGATCCACTCCCGGACGTGACGGGAATTCCCGGTCTAACACTGAGACCTAAACCGTTCAGGATCAAGCTAATTGAGAGGTAAACTAGCGGATTCTCTCTGGTTCTGAATTGACTGGTGAACGCTTTTACCATAAAGTCAGATTCTTCGTAATTCTTTGACAAGAGCCAGCAGGAAACGTTTCTGTTCAATTCCATGGTGATACGGAGGAACAGTTGTAAACCCTTCTAAGACAAGGAATTAAGATGATAGAAAGATCGACACAATTAATGTTTGACAAAGAACATGCCAAGGCGTCGACCATTGGCTTAAGAGTCATTTAAGGTTCCAATGGAACCGATCGAGTAGAATATGTTTTGACCAGTCTGGTTATCATGGTCGTATTGACAATTTAATCTACTGCCAGCAATAGAAAGAGACTTTTATCATTTCATTTTCAGTTCATGGTTAAGATTTTTAAAGTTTGGTCAATTTGAAAAACGATAAAGTGGTGTCAAATTGCACTATATCCACACGAATGTTTCGTGTCAACATTCATACAGCAGTTATGTGTAGCTATCGAAACTGCGAAAGCATTTTCAATTTTTATTTACAGCCAATGAAATGTGCTTTATTAAAGTTGCGATTTTCAACTTAGATAATATGTTACGCTGTTATGCTGGGGATATCTGTTTCAGTGAAAACAAACAAGCAATACAAAATGTCTGCTCCAGTCAAATCACACTGACAATATATATGTTTCAGTCATACCACGTTGACGATACATATGTTTCAGACATACCACGCTAACAATATATATGTTTCAATCATACCACGCTGACAATATATATGTTTCAGACATACCACGCTGACGATATATCTCTGTTTCAGACATACCACGCTAACAATATATATATGTTTCAGACATACCACGTTGACGATATATATGTTTCAATCAATTACGTTTTACAATCGCATTCGATGTTGACATTTATGCGAAGAGAAATCAGTGATGGAAAAAATAAGAAAAAAACGTGCATGTCGTGTAAATGTTTGGCAGGGTTCCATCTTGAACTAAATATGGGTACACACATGTAGGTCAGTGTGTAACTTGGTCAATTGTTTTCAGCTGTGTGGTCTCATTGCAGTAGGAGCCGTGGTATATATGGTACCGACAACTAAAGTGATGGTAGAGAAAATATGCGTAGTAGCTTAGTCGTTGTATGTATTGTCAATTGCCACGTGAATCACTCAGACACCATAGATAAGCTATACACAATTACACACAAAAAATGTGTATACTTGCCTTTGATCTGTCTGTCGGTAGGGGCTTTTTTATTTCATCCTGTTAGCGATATTAAACAAGAGAGTGTAATTAATTAAAGTGATGGCATCGACACTTAGCAACAAAGCAAGTCTGAGGCTGATTGTATAATACACATTGTATGTAAATCCTTACACGTCTGAACTAGATATGGATCTTCTTTTTGTTACCAAGTTGCGTGGTTTCGCAAATGATTTTTTGTTAGAATGCAAATCTTTGTACATAACAGAACAACATGTTACAAATACCTCCTGTTAAATACTTTGGGTTTTTTTTCGATTCTGATTTAAATATGATGAGGTTTCTCTGTTGACAAATATCTTTTGTTGTTTACGATAAAGTGCCCACTTCCGCTTCCCTGGTACATATTGTATAAATAGTATCAGAGACAAAGAGCCTTTGCCAATGTTAATCGAACACATGATTGGTTATGAAGGGACAATAAAAAGGTATCTTTGATCACCGATACTGATTGTTGTAAAATTACAAACCCTTCTAATGCTATTTTTTTATTAATTTGTTCCGACAGGTCGTTAGCTTATATTACGATTTTTTTCACATTTTCCTTGACACGAATTGAATAAGGATAGCACCCGTATGTACTCGAGAGTGTGTTTATTCAAAATCCGTCCAGTAGATTAATTGTGTATGAGTAAATTATGTAACGATGTTTTTGAAATATGAAACCTTCAACATTTCAAAGACCATCCGGCTGACTATTTTGTTTATGTGTATGTCATGAATATGTACAACAAGCTTTATATGAAACCAAACAACGCACACAATTAATTAAGGCCATGAAGTGTTTCATCTTTTATAAGTATGCATTTTAAAATGGCGGAGAGGGAAGAGAGGGAAGTCAATGTATGGGAATCCACAATGAATGATCATTAAAAATGTTTATCCGATAGCACTTTTGAAATCAATTCTAAAAATAAAATAAAAAAAATAAAATGAAAATGATTATGCAAATTTAATTGATTATGTCAGTAATTCTGCAACATATGACGGAAAGGTTCCCGGTGGTAACGATCATTACGAAAGGAAAAGTGCTGAATATCAAAGCAATGCAATACTACTAAATACTGTATATAACGCACAATTATGTTTTAGTTAATTTATATACATATATACACTATTATGTTTGTATTAACTTATTATTTAACAAGTGTGTTGTTCACACTTATCGTTTATTGTATAAATCCTTTATTGTAATAACCTATTGTATCGATATCTGTGTTACTGTTTATTGTTGTTCAGCCCTTTTTGAATAAAGCAGCTAAATCATGTATACAAAAATGTCTTTGAATTTTTTTTTTCATTTAGGAATTAATTGTCACCAATCTCATTATTGTTTACTATGTCCCACATCTCCGGTTTTTTACACGTCACTGTGTCCCACATCTCATAGTTGTTAAGACGGTAATTTGTCCCACATCTCATCGTTGTTAACAAGGCAGTGTGTACCACATCTCATCGTTGTTAACAAGGCAGTGTGTCCCACATCTCATCGTTGTTAACAAGGCAGTGTGTTCCACATCTCATCGATGTTAACAAGGCAGTATGTCTCACATCTCATCGTTGTTAACAAGGCAGTGTGTCTCACATCTCATAGTTGTTAACAAGGTAGTGTGTCCCACATCTCATCGTTGTTAACAAGGCAGTGTGTCTCACATCTCATCGTTGTTAACATGGCAGTGTGTCCCACATCTCATCGTTGTTAAAAATGCAGTGTGTCTCACATCTCATCGTTGTTAGCGAGTCAGTGTGTCCAATATCTCATCATTGTTAATATGAAATAAGCTCAATTTCCCCTCCTTGTTCGTACGTTCACGACTTTTTGTCTCCTTTCTCATCCTTGTAAGTTCACGTGACTTTGTCTCCCTTCTCATCGTTGTTAGTTCACTTCACTTTGTCTCCATTCTAATCCTTGTTAGTTCACGACACCTTGCCACCATTCTAATCCTTGTTTGTTCAAGGCACTTTCTCTCCCTTCACATTCTTGTTAGTTCACGACTTTTTGTCTCCCTTCTTAACCTTGTTAGTTCACGACACTTTGTCTCCTGTCTCATCCTTGTTAGTTCACAACACTTCGTCTGCCTTTTCATCCTTGTTAATTCACGACACTTTGTCTCCCTTCTCAACCTTGTTAGTTCCCGACACTTTGTCTTCCTTCACATCCTTGTTCGTTCACGACACTTTGTCTGCCTTCTCATCCTTGTAAGTTGACGACACTTTGTCTGCCTTCTCATCCTTGTTAGTTGACGTCACTTTGTTTCCCTTCACATCCTTGTTCGTTCACGACTTTTTGTCTCCCTTCTCAACCTTGTAAGTACACGACACTTTGTCTCCCTTCTCATCCTTGCTCATTCACGACACTTTGTTTCCCTTTAATCCTTGCTCGTTCACGACACTTTGTCCGCCTTCACATCCTTGTTCGTTCACGTCACTTTGTCTCCCTTCACATTCTTGTAAGTTCAAGGCACGTTCTCCCACACTTCATCATTGTTAGTTACGACACTTTGTCTCCCTTCTCATCCTTGTTAGTTCACGACACTTTGTCTCCCTTCTCATCCTTGTTCGTTCACGACACTTTGTCTGCCTTTTCATCCCTGTCAATTCACGACACTTTGTCTCCCTTCTCAACCTTGTTCGTTCACGACACTTTGTGTGCCTTTTGATCCTTGTTAATTCACGTGACTTTGTCTCCCTTCTCATCGTTGTTAGTTCACTTCACTTTGTCTCCATTCTAATCCTTGTTAGTTCAAAGCACTTTGTCTCCCTTCACATTCTTGTTAGTTCACGACTTTTTGTCTCCCTTCACATTCCTTGTTAGTTCACGACTTTGTCTCCCTTCTCATCCTTGTTAGTTCACGACACTTTGTCTGCCTTCTCATCCTTGTTAGTTCACGACACTTTGTCTGCCTTCTTATCGTTGTTAGTTCACGACACTTTGTCTGCCTTCTTATCGTTGTTAGTTCACGACACTTTGTCTGCCTTCTTATCGTTGTTAGTTCACGACACTTTGTCTGCCTTCTCATCCTTGTTAGTTGACGTCACTTTGCCTGCCTTCTTATCGTTGTTAGTTCACGACACTTAGTCTCCCTTCTCATCCTTGCTCGTTCACGACACTTTGTCTCCCTTTACACCCTTTGTCTCCCTTTGCCTTTGTCTCATCCTTGTTAAGTGTTCACGACACTTTGTCTCCCTTCTCAACCTTGTTAGTTCACGACACTTTGTCTGCCTTTTCATCCTTGTTAGTTCTCGACACTTTGTCTTCCTTCACATCCTTGTTCGTTCACGACACTTTGTCTGCCTTCTCATCCTTGTCAATTCACGACACTTTGTCTCCCTTCTCATCCTTGCTCGTTCACGACACTTTGTCTGCCTTTTCATCCTTGTCAATTCACGACACTTTGTCTCCCTTCTCATCCTTGCTCGTTCACGACACTTTGTTTCCCTTTAATCCTTGCTCGTTCACGACACTTTGTCTGCCTTTTCATCCTTGTTAATTCACGACACTTTGTCTCCCTTCTCAACCTTGTTCGTTCACGACACTTTGTCTGCCTTCTCATCCTTGTAAGTTGACGACACTTTGTCTGCCTTCTCATCCTTGTTAGTTGACGTCACTTTGTCTTCCTTCATATCCTTGTTCGTTCACGACACTTTGTCTGCCTTCTCATCTTTGCTCGTTCACGACACTTTGTTTGCCTTCTTATCGTTGTTAGTTGACGTCACTTTGTCTCCCTTTACACCCTTGTTCGTTCACGTCACTTTGTCTCCCT